GCTGGGAGGCAGAGGCTGGACCTGTGCAGGTCTTCCGGAGGCAGGAGGCTGGGCCTGGTGAGGCCGACTGGAGGTCAGGTCCTGGGCCTGAGGAGGCCGCCCAGAGGCGTAAACGGGGCTGGGCCTCAAGAGGCCAGTGACAGGCAGGAGCAGCTGGGCCTGGAGAGGCTGACCTGAGGAAGTCTGGCAGCTGGAGAGGCCACGGAGAGGCAGAAGGTGGGCCGGCGCAGGCTGACTGAGGGACGAGTTGGGCCCGCAGAGGCCACCGGGAGCCGGAGCGAACCCTGGAGAGTCCGACTCGAAGACAGCGTTGGCCTGCAGATGCCGCCAGGAGGAAGAGCTGGGCCTGGAGAGGCTGACTGGAGGAAGTCTGGAGCATGGAAACGCCGTCGGAGGAAAGGAGCGGGGCCTGGAGAGGTCTCCGTGGGGCCCGACTTCAAGACGTTTGGGGCCTACAAAGGACGCGGAGCGGGAACTGGGCTGGAGCCGAGTCCAAAGAGGTTGTTGTGAGGTCGGAGCTGGGCCTGTGACCGCAGCCGGGAGCAGGAGGAGCTGGGCCCTGACAGAAGGCCGGGAGGCCGCAACTGGGCCTGGAGAGGCCGACCTGAGGAAGTTCGGGGCCTGGAGAGGCCGCCAGAAGGCCAAGAGTGGGCCTGCAAAGGCCATTCCCCGAGAGGAATGAGCAGGGTGTAAAGCGGCCACCAGGAGGCAGGAGTGGTGCCTGTCGAAACTGCCGAAAGTCAGGAGCACCTCTGGACTGCGGAGGCCGAAAGAGCTTGATTGGAGACAGTATCTGGCCTAAAGACGCTGGCAGGGTATGTGCAGGAGCTGAGACAAAAGTTATGTTTTGAGAGGCAGGAGTTGGGCCTGTATATGCAGCCGGGGGAAGACCTTGGCCTGTCGAGGTTGCCATGAGACAGTCTGGGCCTGCAAAGGTCGTCAGGAGGCAGTAGCTAGACCTGGACGATCCAACTTCAGGATGGTTTCGGCCTGCAGAGTCCCCCATGTGGGTGGAATTTGGCCTGATGAGCTTGCGTTGAGGAAGTTTTGGGCCTACATAGGCCGTCAGGAGCTTGGCAAGAGGGATGTCCACAGAGGTTGTTGTCTGGTTGGAACTGAGCGTATAAACACAGCCGGGAAGAAGACCTGGGCCAGGAGAGAACACCATGCGGCAGCAAATGGGTCTGAAGAGTCCGATTTGAGGACGTTCTGGGCCTTGGGAAGCCATCAACAGGGAAAAACTGGGCCTGTAAAATCCATTATGTAGAATGAGCTGGTCCTGAAGAGGCCACTGGGAGGCAGGAGTTGGGCCTGGAGAGGCTAACTTCAGGCAGTTGTGCACCTGGGAGAGTCTACTTAGAGGCAAGAGCCGGGCCTAGAGAGGCTGACGTGAGGTCAATTTTAGCCTGCAGAAGCCACCAGAAGACAGGAGTTGGTCCTGGAGAGGCCAAATTGAGGACAATTTGGCTGCTGGGAGGAAGAGCTGGGCCTGGAAAGACCGACTGGAGTAATTTAAGGGCATGGAGACGATGCACAAAAGCAAACGCTTGGCCTGGAAAGTCTGCTGTGAGGCATTAGCTTGACCTACACAGCACTGGGAGGCAGGACCTGGGCCTGCAGAGGCTGACTTCAGGACGATTTGGGACTGCAGAGGCCTTTGGGAGGAAGATCTTGGCCTGGACAGGCTGAATGGAGGAAGTTTTGGGCCTGGAGTATGCGTCAAAAAGCAAAAGTTAAGCTAGGAAAGGCCACCGGGAGATGTGAGCTTGGCCTACAGAGGCCATTGTGAGGCAGGAGCTTCACCTGAGGAGGCCATGATCAGGTAGGCCTGGAAGGGCCACTGTGTGGTAGAGTTTGGGCCTCTGTAGGCTGACCTCGTGAGGTAGGAGCTGGGTTGGGAGAGGGCAACTTTTAGAGAACTGGGGCCTGCAGAGGCTGCCAGGAGGCAAGAGCTATGCCTGGAGAGTCCACCTTTTGGCATGAGCTGGGCCTAAAGGGGCCATTGTGAGGCATCAGCTGGACTTGTCAAGACTGCTGGGAGACAGGCAGATTTGTGGCCTGAGGAGGCTGCCGTGAGGCAAATGCTGTTTTCAGAGGATTCCGTGAGGCAGGGAGAAACTTGGCTTTTTGTAGCTGCCATGAGGGAATAGTTTGATTGCTGAGGCTGCCGGGAGGCCGAAGGTGGGCCTG